CACGCATACCTTTCCCACACACCATGCTGTCCTGTAATCTAGAAAGTGGTTCTCAAACTTCAGCTTGCAGCAGAATCACCTGGAGAGTTCAGACCACAGAGTACTGGGCCCCTCCCCAGGTAGCAGCTTTGCACTTCCAACAAGTTCTAGGGAATGTTAATGCTGCCTGTCAGCTGTGTTGATGATAGCGCAGAAGGACTTGTCTATCCACTACCTTGTCCTTAAGCACTAGAATATTCAGGAACAAACTTCCATTGGTAAGACACAAGACACACACACACACACACACAGAAAGTTTACCAAGCCTACCCTATGCTGAATGCCTCCTTTATCTCCTGTTAATTAATCCTCACAAACTCCTGGAAATTTTCAAATGAGAAAACAAAGGCTCAAGGGGGTTATATGAACTAGTTAGTCCAGGAACCTGGATTTCATCTGGCTACAAAATTCATGCTGTGCATTCTGTTTCCCATATGGAAAGCTGATAAAGTAAAATAAGCAAAAAAAAAAAAAAAAGTGTAAAAATAAGCAGTTTTTAAACAAAAGTAAAAAAAAAAATCCCACAGGCAGTGTAGCACAGCTTTATATTCACAATTAGTATCAGAGATGAATCCAAAGTTGCCCTACTGCCCCAGGAAATACAGAGCTCTTGAGAAAGAGGCTCCACAGTAACCAAGAGCTCAGCAGGCGATAAAGCTGAAGTTGCTGCTGGAGGTCCACTGCCTGGTAGAATAGAGCACAATACATTATTTAGAATGAATGTAGTTTCTATTTTTGCATTCTGAGGAGAAGGAGGTATTTGTAAAAAAAAGGGTGTTAGGGAGTTTGTTTAAAGGCTTTTTACAGATCAGAATTCCCCAAGCTGAAGGGTTTTTTTTTTAAATGATGAATCAAGAAAGGGGAAAAACAAATGTGATGAAATGCTTAAATGCCCGGGGAAACTGATTAACACCCTTCACAGCTTTTAGGTTTCTGCCTCAAAATGGAAGTGTTTTCTTCCTTTTAAACACCCCCATTCTTTTTATTAGAGTAAGCATTTTGATTCTGAGATTCTGGGTTTGGTAGATGTGGGCATGTGTGTAGGGGAGGTTTCTTTTCAAAGTAAAGTGTTATCAGGATATATACTGGGTGTATAAAGTAATCTTGGTATCCAAAATAGCTCATAGTTGTTAATTGTCTTGGAGAAAAATTAAAAGATTTTCATGACTAGCAAGAGTCAATGTGAAAAAAATATAATTTCGATATATTGGGTTATACCCAATTTAATTCAACCAACAGCTTCCTTTATGCAAACAAGACATTACTTTCAAGAAATTTGTCATTTAATCAGAAAAGTGGGATAAATATACTATTAATTATGGTGACCATGATCAAACTGGGAAGGAAGTCTTGTTCTAAGAACTGCTTCTTTCTTCCTAGTCTCTCTCATGTGTCTCTTCCTACTTCCATTCTGGCTT